TGTAGGCTTGCGTGGGCATGGATATATTTGCTTCAGGGTCTGTATGACAGACGACGTCCCAACATACGCTCAGTCACATGTGTCTCCAGGTCACGGAGAATCAGTGGTAAGAGGTCGGTATTGCAATTCTCGTGCGTTTGCCAGGCGCGTAGCAAGCCATTTTTTTCGTTTAAGCCTTATAGGCTGCAAAGCCATATATTTAGGTGGAATTGAGGGCTTGCCGAACTTTCATTTTTTATGAGACCTGAAGAGTTATCGTTTGACGTTTGATGATTTCAATAGCTTCAAAATATTGTGGAAAGACTTCCGCCTGTATCCCCCCTTAAATTTCATTCTAGTCAAATCATATCACCTGAATATATACTGTATATATTCCTCATCTGATAAGGATGAGTTTTAACGTGGTTTGTTTATTGTGTCTGAACATACTGAAAGACATATTCTACTTCTAAAAATGCCACTCAAAGAAAGTTTCCTCATCGTTAAAATTAAGGGGGGGGGGGGGATACGGTCGGAAGTCTTACCACCATGGAAATTGAAATGTGATTTCCTCTTATACAAATATGTTTGGACATAGTTTACAAATGTCTGCTGCATTGATACAATACCATGCATCGAGTATTTGGTGTTTTTTCTAAAATAATTGAATAACAAATGAAAAATAAACAACTGCATTTCAGTGATGATTCACATATAATCATAACTGTAACAAAACATCCTCATACATGTCGATGGAAAAACAATCATCACTGAAAGTTATGATATGAAGAATAACCTGTTTACTTAACATGGTAATGCTTTAATCAAAGAATATTGTAGTCAGTATGATTCATAGAGGGATTTCCACTTTTTAAATGGAACGTGTTTGTAGGTATTTCTGGCAAGAATTAGAAGAAAAATTATTTTTTAGCAAAGATCATATGTAAGCTCGAGCTGTTTTTTATAATGGTAGCTACGCCACTGTTTGCATGTGTTGTTGACGCGGCATGGACGCCTTGTAATATCACTATTTGATTATGATTCACAATTACATGCCCACGATATGGTCGGAATCGTGCCAAGGATTAGCAGATATTTATCACGAAAACAGGTTTTTATGTAGGTAGCTTGATCCTCGCTTTTACAAAGGCCTATGGGTTCGATCACAATACATTTCGTTTTACAGCTTCTCTTTTCTTAACATGCTCACGTCAAAACTTATTTAAATTCTAATCGCAGATTAAAGAATAACACAATAAATAGTATGCCAAATTATCGTTACCATAACAACCCTGTGATATTTCACCTTATGTAAGAGAGTAATGCAGATGATACTGTCGGCCGTAAAAGTTGATAAGTTGCTTCATCGCTATCAATAAACACTGGGTATCTATATAGAGAATACTACACGAGGTCTCATTACATACGAATTATACGAAACTCGTGACCTTCCTATGGTATCTGACCTCGCTTTCGCTCGGTCAGATACCATAGGAATGTCACAAGTTTCGTATAATTCGTATGTAATGAGACCGAGTGTGGTATTTTATTTATTACCCACGTCTTACATGCATTAAATTGACAAAATAGTGTATTTTTGTTAATATTTTGGTTTCAAACCGAAACCGGTTTCATAAAGAGGTTGCGGAAGAGTTTTGTACTGTAGTACAATATTTGCATGACGTCACACTGTAATGACGTCACTGCCTTGGTAACCGACGTCACGATTCATGTCAGTTGTCATCGCCTCGTACAGCCTCCTACAGTAAACTACTCCGTAGCACCCCGTTTCTTGGTTTGCAGTTGCTACATTCGGCTAACATCACTGGTGGAAACATTGCGTTTACGTTTTTCGACGGATATAATGTCTCAGTTCGACTCACAATTAAAAAGAGAAACGGCAACGTTCGCGATGTTTACATTCCCACAATGCATTTAAGTTGTAGAATGAATGAATTCACGTGTTTATGAATGAAAACATAGTTACGTCAGAATGTGACCTAATTGAGAACTCATCGGTTATCCAAACAAATCGTTAGAATTTCTCAGGTCAACGCGATACGACACTCGTGTGACGTACGAGATTAGTATGCAACTACCCATACGTTGACCACGTGGGTAATAAACAATTATATGTGTGATCAAAGGTCATATGATAGATTATGTGGTCTCTGGTGTGATGGAGGAGAACTTGCGTCGCTAGTTTTCTCGATATTCTGAACACAAGTATGTAGCGTGAAACCGGCAGACACTTTAGAAGAAAGTGTTTGCCCTACCTGTAACAACGATGTCCCGTGTCTATAAAAGGGATATAATGTGGGGATGAATGACATGTACTTTTATCTTGGCCCGTTTATGATGATGCATACTGCGATCTTTCACAATAATCCCTCTGGCTATCAGATTGTGGCTACGTTTTAAACATAACCGGTATTTCTATCATTGTATTTATAAAGTTCTTCGAACGTTCTCCAAATACGTACGTCAGATACATTGTGCACTACCCTTTTCTCTTTTGATCTTCTCAAACGACTGTTACAAGTTCGAAGAATCCTGGTCAAAGTAGAAAAGTCTTGAGACTATTCGCTACAATTCCGTAACTTACACATTGTACCCTAAATGGGTAGAGCTTTCTTTCGGGGAATATCAGAAGGACAACGATACAGTTATTTCCAATGTTGTAGAAAGCTCTCCACTTACTTAGGAAAACACTGAGATATTGTATTCATGTCGGAATGATATTTTCAGCCCCTGTCAGATCTGAACTTGAACATACGAGGTCTGCGTCTGTGTCAGACTAAAGGCCTACAAGATGTTTAGCAACACTGGGGCGTAATAGCCATAGATCTTCTCCAAACAAGGGTATATATATCTTGTGAGAATGACTTCTCCGATAGGGAAATTTACAGCAATGCGACATCACAATTACTTACGTGATATTTACTCGCAATCTGAGTTATGGATCGTCAATTTAAACAGGACAATATAGACGAATTTCACGAAGGGCATAGAGATCCAACATGCCTATGATATACTCATAGAACGCACCCGCCTGTGCTATCCCGTCATAATCGCTACACAATAAAAACAATTTTTCATTTCATGTCTCACAGAATATATAATTTGATATGGCATTGTTTGTTATCGTATACGTTTGCGTTAGTGAAACAAATGTGGACAACTTTAAAGTTTATGTATGGCGTTATTAAAGCAAAGGCTGAGCGAATGGAGAAATAACATTGTTCAGGCACTGTGAGACTATTAAGGAAGGTCACATGCAGTGCAATAATATTCCAATTATGTACAGCCACAAAATATTTTACAGTAGTGATGCGCCAGCTGAACATACTTAAGAAATTACGAGTTGATTCGTGTAGCATATTTGGCTGGGCTCCAAGAGAGACAAAGTGCTATTCTATTGGGACAGCTAGGGAAACTTGCGAGGACAAAGGGGCAACGCATCGCCCTTTGTTCACCACTGAACCTTTTAATCCCTCCAATCATGCACCTCACAAGATTTGCCAACACCACAGACAAGGCGTAACTGATACTGGTAGCAAGAGCGAGTGCAGCTTGATAAGGCGTGTTAGCTTGCTTGCTTTCTTTGTCAGGCTCTTTTGGTGATAAGAATATTGAGGTCATGTGAACGTTGATTTCAAACGTATTAAAATGTGTGAAAATGAAATTACATGAACCAAGTAATTCACATGATGGATATATATGATCATATTGCTTGAGTACAGGTAACATGAAGGTGTATGAACCGTTCATATACATACCCCTGAAATCCGGTATGATACATAAATATCTAAGGTGTGTAAATATTTGCAAATTTGCAAATTTACATGTGTTTCCCCACCTAAGTAAATTCACATGTTTCCAACCCGAGTAAACTTAGAACGAAATTGGAAATTTCAGCACCCATTGAAATTCAATGGAATGCATTGGAAATACTGTATGATCATGTATTTACCGGGGTATCTGTTTTGCAATTCATGTTTGGAAATCCCTGACAATCCGGTCAGGGCATACATGAACGAGGTGCTTGTGCATACGAAAATGTACGATGAGCATATGTTTCAAAGGTATAGATTCATATGAAATATATGCCCGAAGTTAGGAAATATCTGTAAACATACGTAAATCCGGTCATGGCATGTATTTCTTACTGTATTTTCGATTATTTCAATGGTTTACTATCCGGCTTTTGGTCCTGTGATTACAAGTGAGTAACTACCGGATTTTCTTTATATCGATAGCCAATTCAAATCTGTGTTTAATATATGTGTGTTTTACTGGCTAAAGTAATTATCAACAATTTAAACCAAACTCGAAATATACAGACACATCAAGATTTCAATATAATCATGTGAATGGTTTACCCTGAAAATGGTTGTTATTGATATGAATTTTTAATTTTTTTTTTATCCTATTACTGTACAGTTGGAGTCGGAATTATTCAACCCTCATGGCCAAAACATGCAATCACATTTATTGCAGAGACAGTACTTATTGTCTGTGATGATATAGTGACACAAGTATGGTTTAAGTATGTTTAACAAACAAACACAAAGGAAAAGTGTAAATTAAATAAAATGTCATGCTTTCATTGATTTTAACAGTTTCAAAATTATTCTGACTTTGAAATAGGGCGTTGAAGAATTTTGATTTCAACTGTAGGTGGCAAATTATCCTGATCATCACCAACAATGATAAATGACAAAACACTCATTTTGTTGTTTCCCAAATGATTTAACAATAAATCAGTATGAGATTTAACACATAGAGTATTGTTGTTACACACAGTAACACATTGCCAGAGATATTCCCATATATACAATTAGCACCTCTTTTATAATTCTTTTTGAAAATAAAGTTTTCATTAATGTTCAGAAATATTTACACAATGAGGTATAACCTTAATATGTTGCAAGATATCACAGCAATAAAAGGGGTGTAAATTACATGAAAATTGATATAATTGCGATTTACTAGAACACTTAACATTTACTATCAACAAATTGATAACTAATTTTATGCTGTATTTGCATTATAGTATAAATGATGGCATTTTCCAGATCCCAGGTGAAGAAGAAAGCCATTGATGTGCGGCGTGAGAGCTGCAAGACAGGCGGGGGTCCAGCACCAGTTGGTCAGTCTGACCTGGAGCACAAGGTTGTATTTGTGATCGATTATTAAAATGGTTATTAAAAAAGTGATGAAATTTATCTCATTTTGGTCTTACATAGTTAAAGTTAGTAATTCCTTATCTCATCCCATTCCAGAGTCTCAAACATTTCCAGCATATCAAAAACATTTACGTAATAATTGTGTGTTTTCATGTTTGTAGGTTGTGTCAATGATTCCTCAGCGCCAGATTGAAGGAATAACTGGTGGATTAGAGAGTGAAGTGGAGGAAAGTATGTGATAAATAATACACTACTATTATACCATACATATATCTATGAATATGTATGTCAAATTCATATCAACATTTCAACATCAATTGCAAAAGAATCACATTCAATAACAAATCAATTTTGTTTTGAAACTAAATATTTACAGGAATTCACTATTCCAATTATTAGGTTGCACATTGCAGTATAATGAGGGTAATGTTGTTTTTTAAGGGTAATGTCATTTGCAGATTTATGATGTCTTCCATTAACAGTTCGACAAAGGAAAATACTTTGTGTGATGAAAATGATACATTAATTTACTTTTAAAACTTTTTTGCACTTTGCGTCACCTTGGAAACCAAAGATGCACCAATATGCACGGTTGTGGAAGTAGATGAAGCATTTTGCAAATACATTGTATGTGTATTTGTATGTCTGTCTGTCTGTCTGTCTGTATGTATTAAAGCAATATTTATCAATGGAATCAAATTCATATTTGAAAAGAAAATATCTTCAATTGATCAATGCTTTAGAAGTAATACTGTATCATGGCAACATTCAGAATTGCACAACCTAGCCGGGTTTGGCATATCATGGTATACATAATGTGAACCTTACACCTACTTCACACAAAAAAATTAAAAAAATTAAAAACATATTTATGTATTTTCAGAATCAGGACTTACAGTGACCAGCCTCCCTGTGGTATCAAGTGCGTTTGTACCATCAACATCAGTACAGCAGCCATTAATTGCTACATCAGAGCTTGCCCTAGTACCCTCCACATCACAGCCATCAACAGAGCAGGCAGCCGAACAACCTGATAGTGAAAGGCCCCAAGCAACTGTAAATGGTAAAATAAAATAAAGCAATTTTGCATAAACAGAATATATTCAGAAACATGTCAAACATAGTGCATTGTAATTTCAAGTATATGTTAGTATAATTTTATGGCAATACCAACACTATAAATATGTACTCATATTAAATGTATTGGTTATAATTTATCTCTATAAAAAAAACTAAATATTAATGATATTTTTGCAGCAACTGAAATCCATTCAGGGTCTAAAGTTACACACAAGTCAAGAAAATCTGGTAGGTAGGACATTTTCAAGTAAGAAAAGTTACTAGATTTAGATTAGGGCTGGGACGGGTGGGTACTGAGTAGGACCCAGGTGAAGAATGTATTGTTTTACCACAACAATGTACCCCGGTAGTAAATTTAGACCCCTTCAAGCCTTAATTCACAGTGTAGTATAAATAGCAAACAAGAATTTTTAACTAAACAGTTTAATTGCATACAACAATAAAACAAATCGCAATTATGAAATTATTACCTTTTCTACAGAAAGGGAAGCTCAGCCAGGCGTGACTGCCATCCTTGCTAGTGAAAAGGAAAGGACTGGAATACTGAAGGTCCTCCTTGACGTACAAAGAGAAATCCTGGCTGTCTCGAAACAGCGACTTCAGGTGGAGACTGACAGGCTGGCCCTGGAAAGAGAGAAATTTGAATTTAAAAAAAGTGTAATTAACCTACCATAATACAAAACTGTTTCTCCCGTAATACAGTTTCTGCATGAATTGTAATCAAATTCATTATCTAATTATGAGATAATCCTTTTTGGAGCTTGTTTGAATGAAATTTGTTGATAATCTTGTATGTAGCTTTTGTAATGTTGAAAATGAATCTCTATGCCATGTATATTGGGAGTGTAATGCAACCCAAAGTTTTTGGAAAGAAATCGAAAGTTATATTATAAAAAATATACAGACTTTTGAAATAACAAAATTGCAGTATGGTTTGACATTTTAGGCAATAACAATTACTAAACCACATAATATTTTCTGCATTTTGTTTAATTTATACTTTCACCTTATCAACTATTCAATTCCTACAAGTTTTGAAAGACATATCTGCTGTTGAAAGATTCACAGCAAGAAGAAATAACAGCTTTGATAACTTTATAAATAAATGGTGGCCTATCATCCCAATATTCAATCTTTGACAAACTTAACAAAATGATATTGATGAGTTTTTAACTCACACCTGCTGTACATGTATTACCTTTTTCACTAGCTTATCTGAATTATGCATGGGAACAAAAAAAACAAAAACTATTTTATGATTTTTATGCTTCATAACTTCTTGACGTTCACTTTGTTTCAAACTTGTATCAAGATGATTTTTTACCGTTATTAAATTTAATGTTATGTGATATACAATGGAGTTGTTTTTACTTACATTTCATGAAAATCTTTCGTTGACAAGGTTCTGCCTAGCGGTGTTGCCATCTACATGCTGCCTGGGAGCGGGTGGGGTGTTGGTCTCCGCCTCTGCCTCTTCCAGTACATCTCCCGGTGGTACCTGCACTCCCTTGGTGATGCAGTAATTATGGAGCTTAAAGCATGCCATAATTACCACAGAGCACCTGTCTGGGCTGAACCACAGACATCCAGAGGACTTGTGCAAACACCTGCAATATTTTCATACAAATCAAATCTTACAACAATATTCTGGCAATTAGGGTTTAAAATAATCCTGATCATAATTTAGTTTGCAAGTACTGATTTAAATTCTGATTACATTACAATCAGGTTAAACTCACCTTAAAGAACCACTAAACTTTGTTTTTTGTTACTCTTTTAACCATTACATATGAAAGATTTGTGGTTAGTCTTATGCGGAACACCAAATTTATTCTTTAAAAACTTGTGGTTAATTAATACCGAGCGATTAAAAGTGGCCAAAAAGTCGCCTGCTTCCCTCTCGCCCGCCAACGAAACCACAGACAGGTTACGTAACTCTGAGAGCACTGCAGTGACGTCATATGAGGAACGATTTTCAGTTAGTTGTATCAGGGATACTCTACTTATAGAGTCTCCCTGGTTGTATAGAAAATGTGTAGCATTTTGATGATTTCTCGACATCAACGACGACATGCCGAATCGTTGCTTTGTCGTCAATTACTCCTAGGGGTCGGGCGATGGTGTCACCATGCGCAGATTTCCACAGGACCCCGCAGTTCGTGCTAAATGGGTTATGTTTGTGAGTGCGAAGCGAGCGTTGTGGAAGCCTGAAACGATATCTTACTTGTGTTCAGATCGCTTCACGGAAGTTAAAGAATCAAAACTACTTACTAGTTGTAGTAAAATATGCATATGATTGATGACCATAAAGATTTTCTATGACACAACTTGTAACATAACGATTTCTTCCTCGGAAGTGAGGTTGTGGTCGAAGTAACAATAATATTGTAAGTAGTATTATATTGACACCCACCTCGCTGCCACGAGAGAAATTGTTATGATATACGCTATGTCATGCAAAATCCTATTGGCCATCAATAAAATACATATTTTACTACCAGTAGAAAGTAGTTTAGATTTTGTAACTCAGTGAAAACAAACCTAAATACCATTTATCCTCAGACTGGCGGATGTTCCCGACAGGGCGCCGCCATTTTTAAAAATAAAAAAATATGTTAGAATTAATGAGATTATAGTTTGTTTTCATCAAGTTAGAAAATCAAGACTACTTTCTACTCGTTGTTAAATATGTATTGGAATCATAACTAAACGGATTTTGCATGACACAACTTATAACATAACGATTTCTTCCACGGAAGCGAGGTGGGGGTCGAAGTCACAATACTGCACGATAAATTTCTTGCTACATTCCCATGGTTAATGTCCACTCACCAGTATGTAGATACTAGTCAATGTGCGTCTTTATATTTGGTCTTATAATCCTAATTAATTAGTTTATTATCACACTTGTATGCATTTTGAAACTAAATAAAAAGCAGACGATCTGCTGATACTTATAGTGAATATATAACAGAACTGTAATATCTAGACATTTTATAGTTTGCCAATGTGAATCATAATTCGCACACACACCCTAGTGCATGTTGTCTGTCTCATTACACTTCACGGCGAAAACAATGATTCTGTTGAATGCTACGACAAATGAATAAAAACAAAATGCAAATATTAAAATTAAAACAGATTAAAGTTATAGGAACAATATCAGGCCATTACCTTGTTCGAGGAATGTATCCATCAATATCCACAAAACTGTTCCAAATGATGTGTCTTTTAACAGTTTAATATACGAAAAAGTGATAAATCTTTTCAGGTATTGGTGTATAGTCTCATTGGTCACCCAAGATAGCACACCTGGCAACAAATTGCATAATGTCCGCCTTTCTTTAAAACAGTAATTTAGTTAGCCAATAATGGGCAATCAATCAATGTATTGCCGGTTAATCCTTTGAAAGAAGGACGTTGTTTTTACGCAGACACCGACACGACAGAGTGTATTCAGTATAGATTAGTAAATCTACATACATAAACACTACCTTTTTGACAATTCCGCTGTGTAAGATAAAAGTAATTAATCAATCAGCGTGTTATCGGTTAATCCTTTTTGATCGATGTTTATAATGTTGAATATTTACTCCAGACACAAGAAATGCCAAATGGGAACCTTTGTCGGGTAATCTAAGTGTGTTACCACTAATTATACCTGTTATAAATTCATTAACTGACCATCAAGTGAATGATGACAAATAACATGTGTAGGTTCATACCACCTAACACGGGTTACAACGAGGGAGTATTAATTGCTGTATTGCATGTGAAAACTTATGGGCCGACACTGTTTTGAGAATACAAACAGATTTTTACATGACATGATTAAATATCGAGGTAAAACAACACAGAAATCGGATCAATTTGGATCAGTCATTATACAAATAGGGCCTAACGACACCAATCGATTTTGACAGAATCGTCTATGAAAACAAGTTGTAACTCGGAAACTAGGCAAAGCAGGAGACAAAATTAAATGACAGTAGATTGTGAGAACATATAGCTTTCATTTTCCACAACAATTGTCACGATTTCAGGTTTATACAATATATAACAAGGTTTATGGATAACAACTTCTTTATTTTGGTGAGTGCGACGTTTCGATACAGATTCTTGTACCGTTGTCAAGCAAGAGTGATACATGAAGTGTAGGAGCTGCATATATATACTGTATATAACAATGAAACAACATAATAGACAAAGGAAACAACATAATTGCCATGATTGGCTAAGCAGTAAGCTGATGAAGCCAGTAAGTACATAAAGGATAGTGAATGGAAGCCAGAGATGTAGTTACAATGAGATGTTTATACAATGGATGCGATGTTTATACAATAGACTGGGCTTGGTGGAGGAGTGGATCATAAGCAGATGGAATGAAGTATCCTTGGTCACGGTTGATGGTAGGCTTGTGGCGTTTGATGTGAATGGCTTCTGTGAGCTTGCGTTTAGTGAAGTCCGTTTGGTTGTTGGCGAGAATGGTGATGTCGGACCACTCTATTTGATGATTGGGGTTGGCTTTGATGTGGTCAGAGATAGTCAACACCCGAGTCAAAGAACATCGCACCTCTGTTGCTAATTCCGACACCAAATCAGCTATCTCTGACCACATCAAAGCCAACCCCAATCATCAAATAGAGTGGTCCGACATCACCATTCTCGCCAACAACCAAACGGACTTCACTAAACGCAAGCTCACAGAAGCCATTCACATCAAACGCCACAAGCCTACCATCAACCGTGACCAAGGATACTTCATTCCATCTGCTTATGATCCACTCCTCCACCAAGCCCAGTCTATTGTATAAACATCGCATCCATTGTATAAACATCTCATTGTAACTACATCTCTGGCTTCCATTCACTATCCTTTATGTACTTACTGGCTTCATCAGCTTACTGCTTAGCCAATCATGGCAATTATGTTGTTTCCTTTGTCTATTATGTTGTTTCATTGTTATATACAGTATATATATGCAGCTCCTACACTTCATGTATCACTCTTGCTTGACAACGGTACAAGAATCTGTATCGAAACGTCGCACTCACCAAAATAAAGAAGTTGTTATCCATAAACCTTGTTATATATTGTACGTCTCAACTTCTAAAATGCCACTCAAACAGGTTTATACAAGCCTGTAAACACGATAATTTACCCCCTAAAATGTAGATAAATTCTGCATCGGCTCTCAAAGCTATTCCTCATATGACGTCACAGAGGCGCGCCGCTCTGATTGGTTGAAATTTCGTTCGCGGGTGAGAATTGTGCACTGTTGTCAAAAAGGTCGATTTAAGTCAATTAAAGGTCGAAATGAGTAGTTTTAATGACGGGGTTTCATTTATAACGATGCCAGTTAGTGATTTATGTATTTGTACCCCCTAGGGTTTATGTGACCTTTAACCTTGCCTTTAAAACACCAAACGCACGCTCAATTGTGTTTCTTGTTCTAGTGTGGGCGGAGTTGAACCTCTCTTGGGGGCGTGTCTGCGGCTCAGTAAAGGGTGTTAGAAGACATGGTCGACATGCATATCTGAAAAATTCATTACTTGATTGTTATACCAATATATCAACATATCAATGATGTCATGATTGATAGTTCAAAAAAATTCAAATGTTTTTGTTTGTGTACTCTCTGTATGTATATGACACTTAAAGTGACACTTCCACATTCCTAGACACTTTATTTTTTGTTTTGAGACATACCAATTACCACATGTGTTGAATTAAATTCAAAATACCTCTTCCAGCTTGCATACATATATGTATATATGCAAGCTGGAAGATGTGTTCTTGATTTAAATCAACACATATATATATATACATACCCAATTACCAAATATATGAAATTATTGATACATTCGAAAACCGATTCGTATACATGTGCGTAAGTGAAAATGAAATGTCCACTTTTTAATCATAGATCCTTACTTATACTTATATAATGTCATTATGCTGGACCAGCTATAGCGAGCATTAAAAAGATATTAGTCAGTAATATATGACCCCCAACAAATGTGGGCTAGAGTTTCACAATAAGGGGGTTAAAACCTCCACAACCTACCCAGAATCACCAAGGAGCCACCCATCCGGTGTCAAGATCAAGATCAAGATGGTTTATTGTACATAAGGCCTCTGGCCCGTGTACATAGTATTGTAATGACAGGCAAGGTATGGACATTGCAAACAGTGGAAAGCATCATAACATTGTTAGATTAGTTGACAGGAGAAATTAGACTCTTCCTTAAAGACAGCGAATGTGT